GGAAATTCTGGAGGGCCTCTTGTCAACATGGATGGAGAAGTTATTGGGGTGAACATCATGAAAGTGGCTGCTGCTGATGGGTTGAGTTTTTCTGTGCCAATTGATTCTGTGTGTAAAATTTTAAAGCAGTTCAAGAAAAGTGGGTATGTAATTGGTTTTATCTGTACTATTTTATTGTATATGCATTGGAAAGAAGGATGTTATTTGTTGGTAAATATTGATAGCTTTCCATTTGTTTTATGTGACATTCAGAAAGAATGTTTTACTATCTGAAAAGTTTAAATTACTTAGAAATCATTAACTTTTTAAATATTAATATTCCATAAGCAATTATGGATTTATTTATATTTTTGTTAAATTCATACTTGTGTAGTTGGGCTCTGCCATATTATTTATTAAATCGATAAGCATTATTTAATGTTGTTCAGGAGAGTAATACGGCCTTGGCTTGGTCTAAAGATGCTTGATCTTAACGAGATGATTATTGCACAGCTTAAAAAAAGAGATGCTTCATTCCCTAATGTTAGTAACGGCATTCTTGTACCAATGGTATGTCGCTAATTGATCCTTTCCATATATCCTACTTTTGTGGTCCTTCGGATTCTTGTGTAATTTTTCAAAGGGGTGGATGCCGTAAGGTTAAGGGGAATCATAATGCTTTGTTTTGAGACAAATTGTTTGCAGAGCTCTTGGGCACTTGGCAGAGTTGGTTAGTGATAAACAATAAAAGGATTTTAGTTTGAAATCTCCTCTGCTCTCTTGGAGGCTATTGTTTTGGTGTATGACTAGTATCTCTTGTTGGGATGACAGCTTTACTAAGAGACTCATAATGTTATCATAGTTCACACTGCAAGAAGCTTGTTATTTGTATCAGGATGCATGTTTGAGCGATGACTCATATGTATTTTAGGCTTCGAACTAGGGATGATGTTGATAGAATGGTTGGATGAAATTTGTTTATTTTGAATGCGATGAAATAGTAAAATATGAAACTAGAAAATTGTAAACTAGAAAAGTGAGAGAATAAAACCACAGGACCGTCAGGATCTTTCAATGTTTTATTACTGATTAATGATGGAGAAAGTTTACACAGGTTTGGGGATGAGATTTTTGTTAATACAGTAGTAAATGAATGGAGAAACTACAACAAAATTTATCTTGCACTTTCTGATGAGGCAATAATATGTGACAAATATACAATTCCTCATGTGAATTAATTTTCTCTAAATTTGTATTATCTGTTGTATTTTTTTTGTAGTATGTAATCGTTTCTCTTATAGGATTATATGCTTTGCATTCATAATTAGATTATTTGAAATTACCTAATTGTCACAAGGAACTTCAATGTTTTTGGTTAGGTAACTCCAGGATCCCCTGGAGAGCGTGCTGGTTTCTGTCCTGGGGATGTTGTCATTAAATTTGATGGAAAGCCTGTCGAAAGATTGGAAGAGGTAGTGTCATAGTGATGTATTTTATATATTGTTATTTTACTTTTTATTCTGATTTTGTTATCGAGGTAAAGATGATTTTGGTGACCTAAACTTTGTTCTTAAAATTAAAAGTCATGATTTAAATGAATATGTGGGAGAAACTTGAGTTGTTTATAATGAAAAAGTCTATATGCACTTGGGTTTACTGTGATCTCCACTGCCTGTTGAATTTATTCTTCATTATGGTTTATTATCTGTTCTGACAAAAATATAAAATGATGGCAGGTTATAGAAATATTGGGGGACAAAGTTGGGGTGCCCATTAAGGTGCTAGTTAAAAGAGCCGGTGATAAATTGGTGACTTTAACTGTCATCCCGGAGGAAGCCAATCTTGATGTGTGAGAGGTAATCTGGTGATGTGATTGTTTCTGGCTTTCTGATTTGATTAATTTCATATTATTTTTGCTATTTTATTTTAGGTTCAATTCGGAATATTGGATTTTTTTTCTTCTTTAAAGCAATTTTAATTGTCATTAATTGACCATGCATTTCCCATATCTAGTTAAAAACATCGATATGGATTTCTCATTTCTCTTTAAAGTTTTTTCTCAGATTTGGCTTGGTAGTGGCGATGTGGCAATTTACTTGAGACTAATTTTAATTTTATATGCCAATTAGATTGGAGGTGAAGAGCATGTTCGATGGTAAGGATTTAGAGAACGTTATTTAAAGCAAAATCAGTTGGTGTTCTGGAAGAAAGCAATGTATCTAATGGCTGGGGATGTCCCAAGTAGTGAAAGTTAAAGTCATACAACTAATAGGGGGAAGGCACGAACACTAAATCTAAGTAGAGTTCAAAGTAAGATTTTTTACTCTTTTTTTTATATATTGGTGGAACTTTTGGATATCCGAAGTGGCTATTCATTAAACTTGATAACATGAGGAAATATGATATTTGCAAACCATTCCTTACACCAACTTATGAATTGTGGCTGATTAAATGGTTTTACATAATTGACTTCTATCATGACATCAATTTGTCTCAAAAAATGAAAAGAAAAAAAAAAGACAACTCGAGGAAAGAAGATAATTCAAAATCATCGCAAACAAATTTCAATACGCGTACATTGTCTCGATACTTCGTCTCCAACAATTATACTATTTCGGTTACAGCAATCAATTTGTCCAGAATATTATGAGACTCGGTTATAAAATCATCTACTATTGCCGTTGCCTATGGTCAATATAGCCAATGACAACTTTGAAATAGAAATGTGTTTATCGTAGTCTGTACAATAAAATAACACTTCTTATTTTTATAGCAAAATTCAAGTGTACCAAAAAAAAAGTAATTTGCTGAGTGATTTCATTCATGTAGTTTAGTAAGTTGCTTTTAATGGAATTCAGTTTGTATAATTGAATGCGATTGATTTCCTTACTTCTAAACAAAAAAGGTTATCAGGCTAGCCATATTTTGCGGGATTATTCTCACTATTTAGAGCAACATGGGAGGATAAAGAATTTTAACAATTAAAAGAGGAGAATGCTGGCAGTATAATATACAACATATCATTATTGGTTGAGATTTATTTGCATCTGTTAAATACGAGACTCGATAAAGAGAATAAATTTACATGATTATATAGGAAGAATGTATTATTAGACTCTCTTTTTCACACATTGGTATAAATCATGTTCTTATGCATCACCAACGAATGGTCCATGAATACATCGACGGTGAACAATGACCTAAACATTCCTATAAAATATAAATAGAATGGCCATGCAACGCAATGATTGACATTTAAGAAGTTATGTACATCGTGAATTTTGCTTCATATCATTCAAAAGACTAAGAAAACATCTATTGGGTCGACAATCCAATAGAATAAAACTAATGATTATTTTACTGTATCCCGTATTTATTTTTAAAACAATTATAACGATAACACAAATCTCCAATAAGATTAATGAAAACGCTTAATTTGATTTACGAATAAGATGTAATCACTGGCAAGCTTGGCACAAACATCTCTATCATTTACGTAGAGAAAAAAAAAAAAAAAAACGGGTATCGCATAGCAAAGTCACGTTTAAATCAAATTTTGTATTTTTTTTGAAGTTACGTGATGCAAGTTGCTAAAGAAATGTGCTTATAATTATAGATCTTCAAACCATTCAATTCTATTTGAGATTACAATGTCAGTTGACTAGGGAATATATTTTTTCATAAATATTGTTTATACAAAATCCAAAAAAATGACACTTAGACTAACAAGCCTTACAACTATTAGACTGAGAGATACTGAGTTGACTTGAAAATAGTTTAATAAACTCTATGCTCACCCTATCAGTCTACCACATAAATATCGTTCTCATTCTTAATTCTTACAACAAAACATATTAGCGGTTACTAGGTCCAATAATAATACTGCAAAGCCTCATGTACAGGGTCAGATAGTCCAGAAGTACAAGTAAACATCCATGTGCCATTATCGTTGATACATCAAACGAGTAACTCCTATCCCACCCCTGAAAGTGATGTATATTAATAGAAGTGAAAAAGCTATAAGGTGCCACTGACAATACGATTGCATTTATATTATGTAACCAAAAAATCACATACAACCACTCGCATACATGACCCCGCCCCTTTCACAATCGTATTTTTTGCATTTCTGGGGGCAAGCCCATCCACAATATCCAACTAAATGATTTTTCTTATATATATGATTTAATGTCGAATATTTTTGTCATAGTGGATGGTAAGGCACATATCCTAATAAACCCGTCAGGTTAGTTACAACATCGCTGCACCTCGTCAAAAGGTGTATCATCTGCTGTGATATATCAACTGTGGGCGGAGTAGCTGATGCATTGGTGTTAATAAAATTGGGACTGTTTCGGGGTGCCATTGCCAATTCAGAATTACGCAAATTATGTTGTGGGATTTTTGTAAACTGAGTAGCAAGGGGAGGAATAGGCAACGAAGGTTGTAAAGTGACCTTTTGAACACTCTTACTATTAAAATCCGTTGCAACAGGAGGTGCACCAGCATCAGCAAAACTATCATTGTTGTAGTTGTTTCTACTACCCACCATTAATTGGTCTCCCCTACTACTTTCTTCCCCACCTAACAAGAATTTTACACGAGGGTTTCCTTTACTACTACTTCCATTACCCGTGACCTGACCTGACTCATCACCAGTAGATTTCTTCAGGCAGGACTTGAGCTGGATGGGCTGTGGAAGAGGTTGATGTAATGATACTGATGTCTGGCGATGAACCACGGCAGGATCTTTGACCCGAGGCATTTCATTGGCACCATCATCTGCCTTAGCCTTGGCAACTTCAGAGACTTCAGGTGCAGAATCCCCAAATTCCCGAAGGGAACACCTCACACCCACACTGCCAAATAAGGATTGATTTGCAAGAGAATATTTATATGCAGCCTGTGCATCAGCCTTATGCAAGAAAACAACCCGACAAGTTGACGAGTTCCAAAATACACGGAAACCTGATTGATCCATAGGCCCAAAGCGAGCAAACCTTGCCTTCAGCTCTGCAATAGATGGAAGAGATGTTTCGGGAGGAAATTTGATCATCAATATAGTGGGCTCAACTGCCTTAGTCGCAGAATCTACTTTCTTGGTTGTGTCTAGTTTCATCAACTTGGATGGAGCCTGGGGAACGGATTCCTTTCCATCTTCTCGTCGGGCTTCAGAAATTTTCTGACTGGTCGCTGCTTTTTCTGAAGCAAGTGCCTTTAAATCCTTGATTTTCTTCAACCTCTTTGCAGCAATTTCCTCTTGCCGATCAGAGGGGGCCCTTTTACGCCCAGCTTTTGTAGGATCGTCAGTCCGAACAATATGTTTCACAGATTTTACAACTGGGGATGATCTGACATACTCATCAGGATTGTCGGATATCCTGACACTAGGAGATTTAGTGACACGAACTTCAGGAGCTTCATTATCAGTTGGAGGAGATACAACCAAGCTTTTTTGGTAAACAAGTGACCTGAATCGCAAAAAGAACTGCTGAACAGCTACAGGGATCTTTCTTTCAATGCCATGATACGGATTCAGAGCCAGGGCTTGCAAATCACCCAAAAGTTGTGGTAATTCAAAATTGGCATTTTCTATGGTGTCCGTAGCCAGCAAATTATGGGCATTAGCATCCGCTTCCACTTGTCCTACAGGAGCCAACCCACTTGAGAGAACTTTTCCTGTTGATTTTCCAAAAGTAGAATGCTTCTCAAGTGAGCCTAAAGTAGGTTGTGAATTTAAATCCCTTTTCTTTTTCTTCTTTCCCTGCCCAACAGCAGAAGTCTTTGAGTTCAACGCATCTGCAGGTCTCTTGTGACTTTTTATCTTCTTCATTGCACTAATTTTGTGATGCTTTGCTTCAACTGGAAAACCATATATATTGTTTTCGTTCTTAACTTGATGCATGTCATTTGCTCCATCAGCAATAACCAGAGGTCCCTGTTCCATCTGCTTAGAATCTTCACATGGTCCTGAGACTTTTGCATTCTCATCATGTTTAGCATCAAAAGAAACTTGGTTCTCCAGATGTGATGGTTGAGACATCTCATTAACCATGCTTTTACTTGAAGCATCATCCCGTTCAAATCTATGGGTCACTTCTTCTGAAGATTCCTTTCCCTTGTCAAGACAAGGCTTCGCATCTGAGATGGCATGAGATGTAAGACCACAGTCATCTGCTTGAACCTGACCTATTGAAGCTTCTTTAGCATCTGAAATTGAAGCTGCACCTTCATGAATAGTAAATCCTGTGTCTGCTTCCTTTTCTAAATTATGAAGGGTCAAAGGCACAGTTGGAGCCCTCTTCTGAAATACATAATGAGCTGCTGCATCAGATTTGTCCTCCTTGTATGCTAATTGGACGGAGTTATTTGGATAATCTCTCCGCTTGAGAAGGTACCTATCCTTTTTCAAAGCCTCCTTGACTTTAACAGATTTAGTAGTGCTCTTCCCACCACCCGAAGTGTCTGCAATCACCAGTGGCCCACTCAAAGGAGCTGAAAACAAAAAAATAAAGTTAAAAACAAAAATAAAGAAGGTAGCATTAACATTAGAAGTGGCTCTGAATAGCTTGAGAAACCAATAAACTAGATATTCATTCCACATAAATTATTGTCCTTATATTGAGGGGATAAATTACAAGGGCTCACAATGACTTAAATTAATGATCAAATTAAAAGGCTTGTAAAATGCATACACAGAAAATTTAATCATAATAACAAGGTTCTTTGAATTCAACGTTTGTATTAAGTTAATTAAGAATAATTACAATAATAACAACCAAGGTAACCCCACACCGTGAGTTGGTTACAAGGTTCAAAAGATGCCATTGGATCATAAAGCAATATTTTACCAAAACCTTTTGGGGAGTTCATTAGAGTTTTTATTTTTTTTTTATTTTTTTAAGTTCCCCAATAATCTTAAGTTAGAAATGTTAGATTCTCATGTTAGGTATTATTTTGAAAAATAAAACTTTTGCAATATTTTATTTTAACTATGATATGTTTCCCAACAAAACATTCAAAAGGGGACGGGTTGAAATCCAAGATTCCCACAAAGGCAGTTTAGTTTTAAGACAGTGGCCAAGGTGGGGGATCTTTACATGTCTGCCAAAGTGGGAAACATGTAGGAATTGTAAGATTTATTTATTTTCTAATAAATGGTTCGGATTTTTTTGTTTATTTTATTTTATTTATTTTTTTCTTACTTTCCTAATTTACCCTTTTCATTTCTCTGTTACTAAACCCTTAGCGCCACATGCCAGAGACCCATCTTCTCCCTTCCTTCTGCGTTTGCCATCTTCTTGCAGCAACCCATCTCAAATCCTTACTATATCCCATACCTGATAATGAGCATTAAGAGGTTCAAAGCTGAGATCGAAACATCAATATTCGTTCTTCTACTTCTTGAGGAAGGGAGACTCGTCCTCCCGTATTTCTTTGAGGAATCGTGGTTCCAGAATCAAAAGATTTCGAGGAAGGTGGTGATGGTTGCAATGTGTTTCGTGTTGTGGTGGATTTTGTTGCAATGGGTGCTGATCCCAATTTTGTTGGTGGGTGGGAGGGCTTCTTGTGGTTCACGAGAGTTTCCTGTTTGTCATGCAGTTTGGATGCTCTGGTGTATTCGTGGTGGTTCCCGGTAGGTGTTAGTTGTGATTTTGATTTGCGGTGGGAATGGGATTCCTTTTGGCTAATGTTGGTTTGGCAGTGACTGGTTTTCCTTTGATTGGCAAATATTTGGGATGCTCCAATGTATACACGGTGGTTGGTGGTGGGTTTTGTTTTTGCTTTTGGTGGTTTTGCTGTGAAAATCATAGTATGTTGGAGGCGGCAAAGAGAGAGAGACATTCAGAGGAAGACAGTGAGAGAGGAGACAACGGGGGCAAATCATTTAAGAAACACCAAAAAATAAGAGAAAATTCTTGGCCTTTGAATTAATAATTATTATATCCAGTGGTTCCGATATATTTCCCACGATGGGAGACACGTGAAGGCCTCCCACCCTAGCCAATGTCTTAGTTTTAGGTATATTCATGAAACATTGTCTGAGATTCCTAGGAATCTTTTAAGCATCACACCAAATGCATTAACAACATTCCCAAAAGCCATGATTCCGAGGAAACATAATTCTTGGGGATGAAAAAGATACCTCAGTACAGCAAGGTATTGTATAGAGGTTTCTCCAAAACATTCCTTTGGTCTTCCTCTACCACTTTTAAGCTAATTATCTTCCATTTGATCCATTTATCCGATAGGAATGGACCCATAAATAGAGAAAAGAGTACCGACATTGTAAGAACATTTGTTTAAAATACTGCAGAGTTCATACACAAGGAAAATGATGCACTACTCCTTACAGTAGAATCCCTGAAAACAGAAAATAGAAAGCTAACTCTAGAGAGGAGGACCAACTCTTACTCTTGTAACCACCCCAAAACCAATATGGCCAAAAAACTCCATTTCCTACCACCCCTCTCTCCTATAATACTCAGTCTCATGATTGCCACATATTCCTCACATTCTCTGCTTCTCACTCACCCTTCTTCATGTATCCCACTTTGCTATACTCTCTCTCTCCCTTCCCACTCTTTTTTGTCTTTAATCATTCATCCCTCTCATCAACCCCAAGGCCCTGATTTGGAGGCCCATTCTCCATTTCTTTGCCTTCCTCTCCCTACTCCCTCCTTTCTATTCCTTCTATATTTATTTACAATGGGCCTATTATTCTCCCATCCCATTAGAACCTAAAGTAGTCTACTCGTGCTCTGTCACCAAATCCACCTCTATCCTTAGGCATGTTTCTGCCATAACCTTGTCAAGAGGAGCTAATCTAACTGTGTCCCAAGACAATTCTTATTAAACATGCTTTCTACATACATGCCCACACATGCACCTTACTTTTCTTCCTAACCTAAACTAATCATACTTTTTACGATGATACCTATCAAGAACCATTAAACAGACATTTTTAGTTTGTAAGCTATCTAAATGATTCTCAAAGACTCAAAAACACAAACATCATAAAGATTCTAACCTCTATCTTATTATAATGTTGACCAACAATCTCCCGAACATCAACCAGAAAATTCTTTACCAAAACACAGTACATGGAACAAAGATCAGAAAACTCATATTTTCACTTCGGAGTCTAGTGCTTAAACATCTTAGAGTAGGTATTAAGTTCCAAGACCTGTATATTCTTAACCACAAAAATCTACAAAGATCTAGTCATCAATTTCATTAGGGGTGTAAGCGGGTACAGGTAACCCACGAACCCAAACTGACCCAAACCAACCCAATGAGTTTGGATCAAATTTTTTCGGTGTTTGAGTTAAACCCAACCTAACCTGATCAAAACCCAGTACTGTACGGGTCAGGTAACGAGTTTAGGGGTTTCAACACGTTACCAACCCGACCCAATCCGATAATAATAGTGTTTGAATGATCATTTGCTCAGGACAATACTTACTGTGATTCTTACTTAGTAACAAGTTTTGTGTTTTAAATTGATAGTATTATAACAATATAATATATTTATTTTAAATTTTATTTTGTATTAATTAATGTTAGTTTTTTGAGCTGATAATAATGTAACTAATTAATAGATTTATTTTAGAATTTAATTTGTATCATTGTTTGCTTTATAGGTTGATAATATTGAATTTACAACAATGAATCAAATGATTCACATTTACTTTGAAATATTTAAATTTTTACCAAAAAAAAATAAATATAATTATGTTGATCCGATTAACCCAACCCGTTTGACGTTTGTGATTGGGTTGGGTTGGATTGGATTTTTAAAAACAGTTACACAATTCAAACCCAACCTAATCCGATAAATTTTGATTGGGTCGGATAACGGATTTATCCAAATCCGACCCAACCCAACTCGCTTACACCCCTAAATTTCATTGTCAACAGCCACACAAAACAATGCATAGCCGAAGATACTGAACGTCACAGATTTCCAATATCAAATAAACATGAAAAGGAAGCACTTTATGTATACCTCTAGGAGGGTGCCTCACATTCCCAGGCTGACCGAGTGGCTTACTCTGAGGATGAGTAGGGCGCATTGGCTGCACCCCAAAAGCCTGAGCATAAGTCTCATCAAACTGCTCAAACACCGCCTTCCGATAAGCCGAAAGAGTGGCCTTATTGTTACTGAATTCAATGCTTCCACCGCGACTATCATGTGGAGCAACGGCCAATTGCTTCACAAAAGCAAGAGCCTCACTCGGTTTAAAACTATCCCTGGCCTTCCTAATCTGAAGATCAGAATACAACCCTCCAGGCTCATAATCCTCCACATCAACACAAAAGTACCCTTCAACATTTGTGGGCCTAAAATTAGCAGCATTTCTACACTTGCAAGCCAACCCTAGACCGCGCCTCCTACATGCCTCATCAACCGCCTCCTCCACAGCCCTCAAAAACGTCCTGGAATTCGTCTGCTGCGACTTCTCGGCGAAATTCGCGTCGAACGGAATAAGCTCCGCCGGCTCAAACCAACCGTAGCTGCTGTCGCCGAAGAATGCCACCAAGAAATGGCCCTCGCGCTTGGAACGACGCACCGAAGGAGACGCAAAAGCTTCGTTGTATATATGACCGGGCCACCACGGGTGAGATTTCACCTTCCCCCACACCATGTCACCCACCTCGAAACCAAACCCTAGATCCCTCGACACGTGTCTCTCCGCAGCCACGTACTCGTCGAATTCCGATAACAGAGACTTACTATCGGAGCCGGTAAATTTGTCGGAGTCATTTTCCTGTGCGTTACCGTCGGAGCAAACCCTAACCCTAAACTCTTCCGTCGAAGCGTCCTCGGGGTTGTTGTTCGGCGAAACCCTAGGAGAATCGGCAGCGACTCGGTCGTCGGCTTTTGGCGCAACCGCGGCATTGTCTTGAGAATGCAGTTCGGTCATTACTGGGGCGTTGTTGAAGGAAATGAGAATTTCCCGAAACGAAACCCTACGAACGCGAGAGATAGTGCAGAGAGCGTCACATTTCTTAGAAGAGAGAGAGAGAGAGCGAATTTAACTAATTAGAGCATGCCAAGTGTATTTTATTTTATTAAATCCTACGTCATATTCATCCTATATAAAACCCCAATGATTTTTATTCTTTTTATAACATCGAATGATTATTTTTTTTAGTGCATTTATAGTAATATTTTAACTTTTTTATTTGTTTTATTTTTTATTTATCATATTCATAAATTAAAATTTAATATTTTTAAAATAAGTTATCAATAATTAAAAATATGTATTATAATATAAATTTTAAATATAATTTATACATTCAAATGTAATATTTATATACATATATAATTTATTATAGATTTTAGTTATATATAATAAACATTAAATATGTATGTTACACAAATTAAAATACTATATTTTAAACAATTCATTAACAATTGAGTATATTTTCATTCAAAATAAAATTTTAATCTAGTATATTCATATTTTATAATTAATTTTATTTGTATTTAATTTTGCATAGTTGATGCTTTGAAAATAATATTGTAAACAATTGTATCTTACATTAAATATGTTGCTTAATTAATAATTTAGAGTTTAGATTTAAGATTTAAAAACTATAAATAACTCGTACAATTAAATAGAACATCTCTAATGCTACAAGAATAAAAGATATAATTAATTAATCTTAAATAAATCTTAAGAGGTAACCATGATTGTTTATAGTCAAGAAAAAATATAGTTATTTTTCTATTATTAAATTATATATACACATAACTAAATCATACTTTTTGATTATTTATCTTAATTTTAAAATTTATTTTGATCATTTATTTTCTTAAAAAATCATTTTTGTTCGTTATTTTTTATATTTAAATTAATTCAATCATTTTGAAATAGTGTTTGCTTTGACATAATTTTGAATTATTTTGAATAATTTAAAATTTGTTTTATTAGATTTAAATATATAAAAATTATTAAACTCAAAAAATAAAAAATAAAAAATATTATAAAAAAGGCGTGAAAATGAATCCTCAACTAAAAACATAAAAATTATTATCACATTATTTTCCAATTCATGTAATTTATTTTTTACTATCCTAATAACTACCTTTTATGTAAGTGAATACATTGAAACAAATTTCACACATTAAATTGGTAAAGAAAATAATTTAAGATTACTTTACAAAATTGAAAGCAATAATAATTTAAAAAAGATAAAAATTAACCAAAATTTAAAAGATAAATAACTCAAATAAATCTAAAAATAAGACAAAATTAAAGATTTTAAAATTGTAACTCATAAAAATTGGTTAAAACATTGATTCAACTTTCAATTCAATCATGATTGAATTGTAGTCGAACTTATATTAATAAGAATAATAATAAAAAATTTGTGAAGATCAAACATACATATATTTTTTTCCTACATCCTAAAAAAATCTAACCATCTAGACTTTATTTATAGAAAGAAGCATGATACAAAAGATACGGGCTGAAGAAATTATTTTATTTTATATTTTACTTTATCGTCCGTTATATAATATTAGGAAAAGAAATTTATACCATAGAAATAAAACTCCTCAATAAAATGCAAAAAGAAAAATATTGAAAGTGTAACTTTCGGGAATCATTAAAAATATAATCTTGAAGTAAATTAAATAAAATTATAACGCTAGATAGATTGGTCACAAAAAAGAAAGTCATCTCTTTCTCTATTGGCCATTGTGTAGCTTTTGGCTAAACAAGAATTCAGGAAACATCGGTTGAAATAGTCATCTCACGTAATATGGAAGACGTAGAAGTTCTCAGAAAAGAAAAGAATTTCTATATTTTCAATCAATAATGTATTCACTTTGAATACAATCATGAGCAAAAATGGAGGCAAAAGTAACATGCACTATATAGTACTATACCATACTATCATCCTCATCCTCAAGGTGCGAAAAATCCTTCGGCCAAATAGAAGCTAAATCTTACATCGCTAACAAAGAACTGAATTAATACACAATAAGTATTGGGAATAAAAATGGTTAAATGAAACCAAACGTAATGTAGCATTGCTATTCAGTTAAGAGGTTCACGCATCATCAGGGGGAGCACCGGCAAGCCAACCCCACACACCACCTGAACTCTGCCTCTGTTTTGCATTCATGGCAGCTTGCTCTGATGCAGCCTTCTGTCGCTGGAGGAGCTCCAGCTCCTTCTGTAATGTCCCAATCGTTTGGAGCTTCTGACCTAATTCAGCCACCTCCACCTGCGTTCTCAAATATTTTAGTTAAATAATAATAATAACAATAATAATAATAATAAATCCAACTTCGTTCATGCATAATAAAACAAGAAAAATGCCAAAATTTTAAAGCAAAGTAAAATAGACCACTCTTTCACTACAAAGAGGGATTTTCCCATCATGAGATATTAAACACTTGAAACGGGCAACCACTTGAAATTGTTACTTTACGAATGGGTTTTTGATCGGATGAATGGTGCATCGAGTTTGACAAATAACTTCTATTCAATTATCTACCTAAACACCAAATCCAATTCAAAAACACCCAAAGATCAAGAGTGGAGGAAGACTCAGAAGCATTAGTAACATACCTCAAGTTTGAAACACCTTGACTGCTCAGAAGCAAGTTGACCACGAACTGATTGGAGCTCCTGCAATATCAGCACAACAAATGTAAGGATTTTTTATACAATTAAGAACAATGTTCTGGTTCAGAGTTCAGACCTCATCAATATAAATACAACAACCACCAAGCATCTTCCCATTGTAGGGTTCAATTACATGGAACAAGCAACGGAATAATATTCTGTCATAAATAATGGATCAAACCTTATCAATAAAAGTTTTGCTTAAACACTGATAGGTTAATAGCCTTGATTAGTTGTAAGTCAGGTGTAGACAGAATGATGTGTCTAACTGTCTACTGTTACAATTAGTAAATGTGGGAGAGGCCTGGATCTCTCAAACATCCAGGGATGTCATTATTTGTTCTACACATTACCCCATGTTTTATTATTTATACTATTCTACAATGAATCAGGAATTGGGAAAGTATAGATTCCTTAATAAAGTTCACGCTTTCCTCTTCTATTCTGAACCAGTTTGATTCGGCCTGGGTCTCAGACCCAATTAATCCAAGAGACTTAGAGAAAACATAAAGCAGTCTGCTAAACAGATAACAGAGGGAGTGTTGCCACGTAACTCAAAGCTCTAGAAGGAGAAGGAGCAATTAATTGTTATTAATCATTAAAAAAAAAAAAATCTTCTTCCACTTCAATGCTTGATTCCTGAATCCATTTTTGAGACTGATTCCAAAATGAAAAAGGAACTTCAACTATTAAAAAAGTTACCTTGTAAAGTTCCGAGTTACGTGATTCAGCCTCTGCCAGCTCTTGCTTTAGTTGAAGAGCATGCAGCTTCTCCTTGCTGAGTGATGATTCCAACTCTTCTTTCTCTGCCTTCAGGACTGATATAAGATCACCTTTGGATTTCTGTTTGACGGCCAAAATATGAAAGCAGTGACTGCAGTGATTATATAAACGAAATGGCACAAATGCAGAATATGATCTGTTTTTATGGGTACAAATAGGGTCATAGGCATGAGTTAGACAGGAATAACATGCTGGAGGCTTAGTTCGTTAAATCATGACAAAAAAGGGTACCACAGATTGAAGGAGGGTCGTCTAAAAAAATGCAACTTAAAATCAGAGAATGAGCATAATTTTCAAGCCAATCAGCTAGGTGAGGAGTGAAATAGGATATTTATAATTGCATTTACTAATGTATCAGTATGGTTTGGACCTTGGAATTTTTTATGATCTCCTGACTGATTTTTCATTATTATTTTTCCACATTCACCACGTTGGCAATAAGAGAAAGCACAATGGAATGGGCGTATGTGTTGTTATTCTATGATATCTAAAGTGAGAGAAACTAATGGACTAATAATTTAGGGATCAGGTTTTTACAACAAATTCAAGGCTAAGAAACTGCCCAGTGAGATAAGGCTTTTGTTGTTGTCAAGGCTAAGAAACTGCATGGGTCTTGTCGGGTTAAAGGTTTATTTGGGGTAAGTTAGGGAAGTGATTGGTTGCAAGCTCTAGGATGATGATAAATGTCCATAAAGGGAGAAGTTATGGTGCGTGAAAAACAATTGAAAGGTACATTTAAATTGTATTTGGCTAATAAACAGTCAGATTCTTAAAAAGAAAACCTTGAATAGACTCTAGATTCTCTGCAGAATTATAAATAGAAGAGAATGGAAACTGAAGTAGAAGAACAAGCCAACTTTTTAGATCTTGGATTGTGAGCCAAAGATATGCAACTAGAATTTTTTTTTTATAAAATAAACCACCACAGTAAGAAAATTTTCTGACAAAATCGAATGCAGAAACAAGAGTTAAAACCAGAAAGAAACAATGTAAATTCTTTGCAGTGATACATACTGCTGGATCAGCATTGTCCAAGGCAGCTTCCCAATTTTTCCCTTCATGGCCTGCTTCAAATTCAGATTCTAAATCTCGGGTAGCATTTGTGGCATTTGGAACAGCTGAAACACTATCTGGTATGGAATTTCCAGTTATTTTGGATTGCAAGGTTGATTTGTGGCTTGGTTTAAGAACATAGACCTAAATACAGCAAACCAAATCAGAAGAGGGAGAAACATAAAACAAAGGTAAAGGAGGCAAACTTTTGAAATAATCTTTACATCATTGTTGTAACGTCCATTGTAACCTCCAAAAGATACAAGTACATCTTCACCATCATAGGAGCTTACAACCAAACTCAATCCCTGCAATGCATTATTTTAATCAGATGGCACTATAAACATAACCTTGTTACAAAAGAGCATGCAGTTAACAAGAATCAGTACTCTAGTTAGATTTCAAATCGCAAGCAACCTTGTTAAAATACATTGATGAAGTACCTCACTAGCAACAGGAACTCGTCCTTGAACAGAAGTTACAACTGACCAAGCCAGTGTAGACATATTCAGTACAACCGTTTCTGAGACTCCTGCAAAATAACATGTA